AATTAATTAATTAATTAATTAATTAATTGAACTTATATGCCACCCATTTAGACATAGTCTACTCTGGGCAGCTCACAAACACGTAATAAAAAACAATCAATATAAGATAACGGTTCCCGACATTAACTGAAAAACAGAATAGATAAAGAAAGAAAAAGAATTACGTAGAATCAGGAGGGAAGGCCTGTCTATATAACCAGGTCTTAAGTTGGTTTTTGAAAATGCCCAGTGAGGGGACCAAGCGAATATCAGGGGGGAGCGTGTTCCAAAGCCTGGGAGCCACTGCCGAGAAGGCCCGATGTCTTTTTTTTTTCTTTCCGGGCCTCCCTTGCCATTAGGAAAACATTATAATGCTAAGGAAAGCTGAAGGCAGTACAAAATGTGGAAGACCTAAGACAAGAGATGGATTGAGTCAGTAATGGAAGCCACTCCCATGAGTGTGCTGGGCTCAAGTACCTTTTGGTTACGGCAACATTGGTTCTGCTATCACCTTGTATGTGAGGTGCGTAACACAGACTGCGCAGAATTGGAAAAGGATAATAATAAGCAGGCACACATACTCTAGAGAGTGTGCATTGGGGAGGATGTTTACGGCCTATTCCATTAGGTTGAAATCTGTTAGATGTTCTGCATGACCGTTTAGTAATTTAGCATTAGTAAATTCACATTATGTGCATAGCTGTCTGGGTAGCTCAGTGAGTTGGGTACCTGGCGGCCGAGGCAGGGAGTCCAATGTCTGTCTGTGTCTCCTCTGAGAAGCACCAGCCTACGTAGCCTTGGCCAAGCCACACGGCCCCGGAACGCCTTCGGAAGAAGAAACTCATAAACCACTGCTGAGTCATCTGTACCTAGGAAAACCTGGAACAAGTCACCATGAGTCAGAACTGATTTGATGACACACAACTGTTAATTATGTGCATGTCACATAGCTTGATTACTCAGCATATTCCTACTATTGATCATTGCGTGTGCATTGCACAGATATATAATTTCTACTAGATCTCAGAAAACCAGCTACTGGTTTCACCCAATTCTCTCAACCAATGATGCTAAAAGAGGCCACACCGAGGCTAAAAAGGCGATAACAAAGATCTCGGCCTTCTTGGTGGTGGCCCCCAATCGGTGGAATAAGCCACTGGGAGAGAACCCTCATCTATGCAAGAAGAACATGGTTGGCTGAAAGGAGAACCAATCTGGAGAAGACAAGAGAAGAGTTTTGGTCAGTTGACCATTAAGAGAGAGTTAAGACGCATCAGCTAGAGAGTGTCTCAGAGTAGGAATACAGTACAGTATGAGTTTCCACNTATATGCCGCCCATCTAGACATAGTCTACTCTGGGCCGCATTTATTATAGTTACTTTGTATATAAGAGAACTTGTTCTAAAATGAAAAGTTGATACTGTTCATACATGAAACTTCAAGCTGATGAGAGTTTATAACTGTTATGCTTACTAAATAAAGAATTTTATTTTATGTTTCACTTTAAAACTGCTTGGCTCTTATGATTTGGGCTGCCATCTAGACATAGTCTACTCTGGGCCGCATTTATTATAGTTACTTTGTATATAAGAGAACTTGTTCTAAAATGAAAAGTTGATACTGTTCATACATGAAACTTCAAGCTGATGAGAGTTTATAACTGTTATGCTTACTAAATAAAGAATTTTATTTTATGTTTCACTTTAAAACTGCTTGGCTCTTATGATTTGGGCTGAAGGAAAGCCCTTGGGGGGGAAAAACACAAGGCAGGTCCAGAGGCGATTAGCCAGGTAGCTGGTCACAGCTACCAACTGAGGTATGTAAGACTCCTTCCCTCCTTATCTTCAAGAAACCGGTGAAAACAGAATTATACAAAGCTGTCTTCAGTAACTGATCCTCCAAATGCTATTAATATTTATTTTATTTTCTTGTTCTTTATTTTTCTTTTTTGTATGCATTTTAGACCTATACTTGTGAATCGACAGAATTGTCATGAGTGTCTTGCGGGGGTTTCAAATTTTAATCTGTAAACTGCCCAGAGTAGCGCTTGCACTAAAGGGGTGGTATATCAATGCATCTATATTTGGCTTTCAGCTCTCATTTGATCACTGTTGGCCACGGCTAGATATTTTTGTTTAGCGTTTGCATTTTGTTTATCATTATAAAATATGTTTACTTTTAGTTGCCATATTTCTTTGACTTCTATGCTTGCTGCATCACCCACCCCCTTTCTGCAAATCTGGCCACTGGGTGGCTAAAGGGAAAGCCGGATGGGTAGCGCTGTCTCCTCTCCATTCTACCCAGTGGACTGCTGGGGAGAAACCGATTGCTATCAGAGCTGTGATTCATAGAATCACAGAACCATGGAGTTGGAAGGGACCTATAAGGCCATCGGGTTCAACCCCCTTGCTCAAGGCAGGAATCCAGATCGAACCAGACAGCGAGCGGATCCTTCATTTTTGAAGATGACCACCTCCATCAGAGTCAGGTTCACCATTTATTTAGGGGGGAAAGAGAAGTGAGCGGCTAAGGCTGAGCAGTGGCTGACTAGCCCAATACAAGCCCAGAAGACATGAAAACAGTGTGGGGGCTTCTCAGATTTATTCCAGATTCCATTGAGATGTTACATCTGTGCTTTCTCGCTGCTCTTTCCTTTGCGCGTCCTTGATCCTTTTTATTTCCAATTCTTTAGCCCCTTGTTTGAGAGACTGAATAGCGGTTAGAAAGACAACAGGATCTCAACCAGGACACTAGATTATTTATTTATTTATTTATTTATTTATTTTTGCAGAGAACAGAACCCATCAGGGGCTGACTAGGCATCTTCGAGGTGGCTGCTTCCCATACTCACACCCGCTGACATGTTGAGTGGTCTAGGTTAGGAAATTAGGGTGCTTGTGTCCCACCACCATGTTCCAGGGGATCCTGGCATACCACCCCCAAAAAGGTGCCCCCTTTTAAAAAAAAATTAGCTGGAGAGGGGATCTGCACCCTGAGCCTGGCAGGACAGCTGTGATTGGCTGAGGGTGATGTCATCCTAGAGTCACCTAGGTTCTGCCCTGGACTACCCCCACCCTCCTTGCTATTCTGTTCCACCACCACCACCCCTCCCCGTCCATTTCCCATAAACTCCATTTCAAGAAAAAAGCAGATTGGCTCTGCTCTGCTGCAACCCTCAGTTCCCAAGGAGTTAACTTAAAGTGACAGGTGCAGCCAGGGACGCAACAGGGAGAAGCAGCTCCTTTCCATGTTCCTCCGAAAGGCTGCCTGGATGTCAAAAGAGATGTAATGGAGCACAGCTCTCTTCTGCCCCAGTTTATGCTCAGATGGCTGAGGGGGCGGAAAAAGCCCCACGGAGCTGTCTGAAAGCAGGCATCTTGCAGCACGGCTGACCCAGAGAACTCTGGTTTCCCAAGGCCTTCTTGCAGTGTCAAGCAGACGCCTGGGGTGGAGTCGTCGGTCTCCCTCCGGCCAAGAGAGGGGCAGCTAAAGACGCTCCACGCCAGGGCTTTGGTTTCAGAAGGAAACATACAGAGCCTTTCTCACAGCAGGGCAGCTGTCGGTGCTGCATGCCGAAGGACACAAGAGAAAGCCAGTCTAGATCACAACAGAAGTTAAGGCCAGATTAAAGCAGGAGCAATTCCAAAAACCCACAAAAACCCAAAACAACAACAACATAAGAATGGTGTTGTTGGTTTTTCGGGCTGTTTGGCCGTGTTCTTAAGGTTTTTCTTCCTAGGAAGAAAAAGCTGAAGAACACAGCCAAACAGCCCGAAAAATCTACAACAACCATCGGATCCAAGCTGCGAAAACCTTAGAGAATAGAACAACATAAGAACACCATCATAATCACCACCAACAACAACAATAAACAAGCTACTCTTGGTGTGCATCTGCAAGTTATTCCAGGGTTAGGGAAATGGTGTGGAGATGAAATAAATGGATTTTTAAAAAAAATACAAATTCAAACACAAAACAAACTTTCTGGGGACGTTGGCAGAGGAGTGGCCATTCAGTTATAAACCAGAGCAGGCACACGCAATCTCCGAGATGACCTGGGAGGCCAGTCCCAGGAACGAACAGGACAGACAGAAAATGATCCAGGCTGTCTTCTTCCACAAACCTGTGCCTGCAGCCGTTGCACCAGCTGCACCTAATCCAGCTTGCCAAAGGACCCTGAGGTCCTTTAGATGTAGAGCCAAACAGGGTAGCTGGATGTTTTCAAGGAAGCCTAAGACAAGCAAGGCACCAAAGAATCTGCTTTTGACCTCTCAGCCCCCCTGAGACATTGTTTAGTTGTTCTGGTGTTTATTTCTTCATTATTTATTGGTTAGCCTCTTTTTCCATCCTGCCTTTTCTTCCAGAAGCAAACGGCAGCATATGTTATTTTCCTGCTTCTGACCTTATCTTTCCAAAGCCTTTGACGCAGGTCAGTCCGAGAGATAGCAACTGTCTGAGGGTCACCAAGGATGCAAAATAGCAAAGTGGGGTCTGATCTCTGGTCTCCTGAATATTTCAGGTACAACTATTCTGAAAGAAACAGTACTCGATTGTCCTGATGCATCACCAGAATTGTGGAGAAGAAGCTATCGGGAAGGCAGAACATGGAGATAATGTTTTCCTAAAGGCAAAGGTGTCAAACAAGGGTGGATTTTATCGCCTTATCTGTTTGACCTATGTATATACAAAACATACCATATGGAAACCTGGATTAGATTTGGATCGAATGGAAGAGAAAACTGGTTGAAGACACATCAATAACTTCAGATAAGCAGATGATACTATCTTACTGGCAGCAAGAAACAATTATTTGAAGCAACTAGAGATGAAATTTAAAGAAGAAAGTGCAAAGGCAGGATTACAGTTGAACACTGAGAAGACAAAAGCCATTACTACAAAAGAACTACCTAATTTTAATTTTCCACAATGAAGACATTGAAATAGTAAACATTTTTCTACACTTTGGTTCAACTATCAGTCAAAATAGAGACTGCAGCCAAGAACCTAGAAGAAGAGAGAGACTTGGAAAGGTGGATGTGAAGGAAGTAGAAAAGAAGTAAGGATGTGTCACTAGAGACCAAAGCCAATATAATATATACTATTGTATTTGCAATGACTATGTAGAGATGTGAAAGCTGATCAGTGAAGAGGGGGGAAAATATGGAGCTGGAGGAGAGCTTTGTGGGGTACCTTGGACTGCCAGATGACAAGTAAGTAGATCCTAGATCAAATCAAGCCTGAATTCTCCCTAAAGGCAAAATAAAAATAAAAATCACCACCTGAGGCTGTTTTACCATGGACAAATCACGTGAAGACAAGAGCTACTGGAAAATACAATACAGTAATGCTAGGAAAGGTTGAAGACAGCAGGAAAAGAGGAAAACTAAATATGGGATGGACAGACTACATCAAAGAAGCCACAAGCTGGAGTTTGCCAAAGATGAGCAGGGCTGTTAACAATACAACTTTTGGAAGTCACTCAGTCATAGCATTATAGGTAAAAGCAAAATAGAAATCAAAAGTTTAAAAAATACCAAAACGTGGTGGCACATTTCAGACTAACTTTTATATATTTTTAATGTGAGCTTTCATGGACATTTCCACTTTATCAGACATAAGAGCAGTCATAGGTGGCTTGAAGGCCAGCTCCAGAGTCAGCTTGTGACTAGAAGGTGGGGGAGGGCACCCCACCTTGATATTTGAAGTGAGATGTCACCTATACTTTGACCATAAACCACCTATGCCCTCCCTATTGTCAAAACCTAACCTGGAAGTTCTGCAACGGGCCTATCGACATTAATCTGCCCCCAGCACCATCCTGAAATGGTTGCTCATATATTTCTGATTCCATCTTTGGTTGGCTAAGAAAGGGAGCAGCATGCTCTGTCCATCTAAAACTTCATCATTTTCAGTTGGGCTATCTGCTCTAATAAAGTTACCTTTGCAGGCTCAGCTGCATGGCAGGCAGCTCCAGCAATCAGCATGGCAATTAAAAATAAGGTAGAAGTTGGATATATCTCTGCACAGCATTAAGTACCATTTGGGCAGAAGAGGCTTTTTTCCATGATTTTTTTAACCAATGGCTCACCACATTTAATTCCCAAAGCTATGCTCTTCAACATCATCCCCTCCCACACACAAGACATGCATACAATCCTGCACCCACAGCATGCTACCAATGACTACACATAGCGTAACAATTTCCTACAGAGGTGCGTGGGAGGTAGCTAAGTTCGTCTGCTCCAGCAAAAACAGCAAAAAAAGGCTCTCCGTGACCTACAAAACTAATGAATTTATTATGGCACAAGCTCTGGCGCACCCTATGCATTTGAAGTAGTACTTCATGCACGTGGCGAAGGGCACAGTTTACCTAACCATGTGCTAAATGAATTGGTCATTTTTAAAAGGGCCACTTGAATTTTTATGGTTTATACACCATGTGAGAGAAGGGCAGCCTTCATGTGAAGGCTGGGAAGAGGAATAATTGCTGGGGGATTCTGGGAGCTGTCGTCTGAGAAAGATAACATTTCCAAATTCTGATTCAGACTGGGTGAGCAGTGCAACTGAAAAAAACTCAAAGTGCAGTTCTGCTTTACAAACAGTGATGCACAGAGCTAGTGTCCCTTGCTAATGTTTACATGTTAACATGTTGTTTAAGGACACAGCTATAGAGACTATGGTAACTATATACACCCAGCGGGAGTGCTAATGTTTACATGTTAACATGTTGTTTAAGGACACAGCTATAGAGACTATGGTAACTATATACACATACACCAGCGGGAGGCTGGAAACGGACCTGCAAGCCTTCCCATTTGTCTTTTCAAGGAGTGAGACTGGATATCTGGATGAATAATAATAAAATTGTAATGATATATTTTGAACTGCAGAGCTCGAAGGGACCCTACAACCACTGAGTCCGGCCCTTCTCAAGGAGGCACAGTGGGGAACTGCACGCCCAACCTCTGGCTCCACAGCCAGAGACCTAAGAGCTATCTAGCAGTTAAAGGAAGAGGTTGTGTCTGAGCAGATGCCCAACCTAGGAATTTAATCCCATTGTTAGAGCCCAAGTTTTGATCTTTGCACCCTTGAGATGGCACTGTTATGTTGCATTTTATCTTATTTTTATAATCTGCCCTTGGGAGGTTTACTGGAGCTTAGCATACACAGCATTTATGCCTGGGGAGTACTTCCCCGTGGATTCCACTGGACCTTTCAGCAGCTTTTGATACCATTGAACTCCTTCTGGCCCATCTCTCTGGGATGGGACTTGGAGGCACTGTTTCACAGTGGCACATATCCTTCCAGGAGGAGAGAACTCAAGAGGTGGTGCTGGGGGGTTCCCGTTTGACCCCTTGGCGGCTGCCCTTTTGACCCCTATGCTATTTAACATCCAGACGAAACTGCTGAGAGATTATTCAGAGTTTTGAGGTTTGTTGCTACCACTGTGCAGATGACATGGGTATCTCTCCTTGCCACCTAAGGAAGCTGCTTCAGCTCTAGATCAGTGTCTAGTGTCAGTAATGAGGATGAATAAACTGAAACTTAATCCAGACAAGACAGAGATGCGCTTGGTCACTTGGTCAGTCAAAAGATAGATCAGGAAATAGGGATGCAGCCTGTGCTGGAGGGGATGGCACCTCCCCCCCTTGAAAGCCCAAGTGCACAGCCTGGAGGTACTCCTGGATTCATCTCTGAGTCTAAGTTTTGGCTTTGGCCATCAGTGTCTTTGCACAATGAGAATGAGTGTGCCAGCTGCGCCCATTCCTGGAGAGGTCTCACCTGGCCCTGGTGACACATGCCTTAGTTACATCCCGGTGGGATTACTTGAACACGCTCTACGTGGGGCTGCCTATGGAAACTCCAGCGGGTCCAAAACGCAGCAGCCAGATTGCTGATTGAGGCTGGACACAACAGGGATCACAAAACGCTCCTGTTAAAGCAATTCCACCGGCTGCCAATCTGTTCCCGGGCAGAATTCAAAGTGATGGTTCTAACCTATAGAGCTCTAAAAAGCTGGGGCCCAAGGACGGCAACTCCTTTTATGAGCCTCATCAGGGGAGGCCTTCCTCTTGGTCCCACCACCCTCTCACAGGCGCTTAGGGTGGGGACCCAGGAGAGGACCTTCTCTGTGGCTGCTCCCCGACTCTGGAACTCCCTCCCACTGGAGGCCAGCCTGGCTCCGTCTTTCCTGACCTTCCGCAAGCAGGCTAAGACCTGTCTCTTCCGGCAAACTTTCCCTTCATGATAATCTGAGTGGAGTTTTTAAATGGTTTGTTGCACCTTACTTCTTTGAATGTGTTTTGGTGTTGTTGTTTTTTTAATATTGTACTCATTTCATCTTTTTTAGTATATGTATACTCACTGTTGTTACCTTTAAATATTATATTTTAATTATTGTAAGCTGCCTTGGGCCCTTTTTAAGCAAATAGGCAGATTAAAAACAGTTTAAATAAAAAAAATATTCTAAAAATGTTAGAATTTCATGGCTTCCTCCCTAATTCTCCTCAAGGCCTAATTTAGATGAGAGGGGAACATTTTGTTGTTGTTGCTGTTATGAAAAAAACTCTTAAATAAAATTTTTAGGCTTCTTCATGGTGGGGGTGTTTTTTATGGGTGTCTGACTTTAAATACTGTAGCTCTGCACAATGAGGGGGTGTTTCATTCCAACCAGCCGCCCAGGTTTTTTCAAGAAATACCTTCTTCATCCCACACTTCTTCTCCCATTTACTTTTTTTAATCAGCTGGAACCATCATTGCTTTTTGTTTCCCACTACATGGGAGCACGGCCTTTCTTGCATTTGACCTGCTTTAAAATTCCTTGGTCTTCATTCACTTGCTTTAGTCCATCTCCATGCTCAACATCCCACAATAAATCCACATTTTTAAACGCATCCACCCTCAGGCCCTGGAAATATGAGGACACCAATTTTCAGTCTTGCTTTAAGTTCCAGGTGCCCAACTTTAGGGCAGTTTTCTTATGATTGTTGCATGGTGCAGAGTTATCAATCTGCTTGTCGGCTTTCACCCTAAATCCCACACACCCCAGGAGGTTAACAGACCATGGCGAGGTAGCACCTTACTGGCTGAGGGCTGCCCAGCTTAAGACAGGAGGTAGCTTACCTAGTGAGGTGCAATGTTCTCTCCCACCATCAGAAGTAGCCCCTGGCATCATGCTCTACGCCAATTGAGCAAAGACTTATAACCAGTAACTGCTACTTCCAGTGTTGTTTCAACACTGTATGCGAAGCTGGAGCATCCTCTCCAGAGCATGAAGCCTGGGTAAAATAATATGGAGGACAGGTTGTTACTTAAGCAGCAAATTCTCCCTCTCCATGTCACTGAAATAGTCCAATGGAAAGGCAAGAGCCAAAACAACTGGTTCCAGCAATGTCGCAGGAGTTGCCAGAACGACACGAACTGCCTCCGGGACTCCGGCTCCGGATTTTGCCTCGAGGTTAACTCCTGAAGCCTTTTCCATCAGGGGATATAGCCACAGGGCAGTGGAGGTTTGGAATTGGAGTTTTCCTTCTCCTAGATGGGCTGCCTTCCAAGGCTGATGAGCCCCACCTACCCGGCCCGCTCCCTAATAGTGTGGAGATTAGAACACAGGCCTCCAGCTGCCGGACCTTATCTTCCAAGAGGACCACCAGCTTCTTCCGTCCTAAGAATGGCTGATGGTCAGATTCCAAAAGATCTCCTTTATGGAGAATTTGTGCAGGGAAATCGCCCCAGAGGGAGACCACAGCTGCAATACAAGGACATCTGCAAGTGGGATCTGAAGGCCTTAGGAATGGACCTCAACAGATGGGAAACCTTGACATCTGAGTGTTCAGCCTGGAGGCAGGTGGTGCATCACGGCCTCTCCCAGTTTGAAGAGACCCTTGTCCAGCAGGCCGAGGTATAGAGGCAGCCCCGAAACCAGCAAAATCGGGGAGCTGGATGGGGTACAGATTGTATTTGAGTGTAGTGTGGAAGGGAGGGTCACTCTCGAATTGGCCTCCTCAGCCACACTAGATGTTGTTCTAAGTCCTCCATACGGAGCAGGTGACCAGAGTCTCTCGAGACTGAAGGAGGCCTAATCTAATCTGCTTTATTTCCTATTGCCTTTTTCCATCTCCAGGAAACTGTAAGGATCTGGGCATTGATTTTTGCACTTGCATCTATTTTCTCCCTTCCTCAGTCACTGAAGGCACATCCTGTATGGTGCTGTTAGGTCACATCTGAACACAGGCTAGCAGGCCACCAGAATTTCCCCTGCTTTTTCAGAAGCACATCTATCTCTATGGAGGGATCACTACACTTTTGCCTCATTTAATAATCTCTGTGTAGTGCTTGGAAACTGTTCAATGATTGTTGAGGAGGAGGGCCAGCCCGCCTGCTCCCCCACTCCATGCCCTCTCCGTCCCTCGCCCCGCCGCGGCCTAGGCCCCGGCTTTCTCCTTTGCAAACTCCTGTTGCCACGGAAACTGCCTCCGCAGGAGGCGGCCATCGGACCACCCGCCCATCACTCGCCCGTGAGCCAATCCGCGGCGCCCGCCAAGCCGACGTCCCTCGCCGTCTCCCGAGCCGCCAATCAGAGCCTCTCTTGCTCCGGGAAGCCCTCCGCCGCCCGAGCAGCCAATGGGAGGCGCACCTGACCCAGGAAGCTCCCAGTCGCTCAGGCAACATCAGGAGGGCGCCTTGGGCACTTCCTGGAGGCGTCCAGGAAAGGGGGGGGGGTCGGGGTCATTCATCTTAACACATCTGGCCACACCTGGAGGGGTTTTTTTGTCTGCACCCTCAAGTAATGTCTCTTTTGTCCTCCCAAAAACAAGTGGTTTAAGCAAATCCCAATCCTGGATCATCATTAGGAGGATTAAATAAATAATAATAAAAATTATTATCATCTCTGAAGATGCTGGCCACAGAGTCTGGCGAAACGTTAGAAAGAACAACCTGCAGAACACGGCCAAAGAGCCCGAAAAACCCACAACAACTAATAATAAAAATCATTAATACCAAACTGATTCAGTGATGTTGGTCATTAAAGCAACACACACATACACACCCAATATGTATCTACAGCTTTTGCCCTGGCAGACTTCCTTCTGCCCCTTTCCAATTGAAATGCCCTTCTTCCTTCTTTTGATCTTCTAAATGTAGTGAGAAATTGCAGGCAAAAAGCCTGGGAGTGTTTTTTTCCCCCTTCAACCCATCCTGTTGAAATAAAGAGATAAGGGGAAGAGAAATCTGAGCATAAGGATTTAAGAAACCTTTCAACGGCTTGCTGTTAAGACCAGCTGCATTCCCTCAGAAAGGAGCTGTCTCCCTTTGCTCAAAATATGGTAATAAATTAAAAATGTGGGGATGGAGCTGATGAAGAGTTGAATGGGCCAGACAGGGGTAGCCACATCGGAGGCTTGTGTCAGGAAAGGAAGGGGATAAATTCAGAGACTTGAACCATGTCAGGGTCTGGATTGACATTAACCAGATATGTCTGAGCAAGAGTGTTGTAAGCCACTGAAGTTTATACCGAAATAAATATGCTAGTTTTTAAGCTACTACAATACTTGAACCTGCAGGGACAGACAGAGCAAGGCTGCTGAGTCGTCGAAAACGGATTTCATGTTAGTCACTAACTTGTTCTGTGTTGCCGGGTTGACTCTGATTTACAGCAAGAATATTAATTCCTAACCTCCAGAATGTCCTGTTCTCCACAGCTCTGCTCAGCTCTTGCAAACTCAAGACCACGGTTTCCTTTATTGGGACAATCCATCCGCTAGCTTCAGGCTGCTAACTGGTCTGAGTGTGGAGCATCTCAGTTTTATACTTGCATAAACTGGCAGGATGCATGGCAGCCTTCACAACACCTTGTGAGTAAGGGAGCGCTTCTTTCCATGCTGCACGTGAGGTAACTGAGGTTGAGGGAAAGTGACTCAGCAAGGCTGGGGTCTTCTGGGATTAGCTTGATAGTTGCTTACCTATTAAATGTAAATGCATTTAAATTTGTATTTTAACAGCTCCAATCTACTTTCAGATGAATAGCTGGGAATAAAGCATATATTATAGGAGTTTTGCTCACAACAAAACGCTGCAGTGCTCCCCCCCCCCGGTTCAGTCCTCTAATCATGACCAAGTGGAGATTTGAACCCTTTGGGACTCCAATACTGAACTCTAACCACTTCTCTCTGCTGGCCCTCTATCCATAACCTTCTTTGCAGATTGAAAATGGGTAAACCTGGGAGAAAGTAGAGCAACATGAATCTTCACTTTGCTGTCTAATTTTACGTACAGTGGCATTTCTCGTTTTTATGCACAGGAACATGCTGTTTTGTGGGTTTCCCCCTATAGAATGATATAGACTCAGGATCCAGTGTCTCCTTGCACCTTTATGGGAAGCAAGAAAGCTGTATCTCTTATTTACATGAAATGCCACAAATCCACGCAAAAGCCGTTTCATTTTTCCCCCTCTGGATGAGATAGCAAGGCAAATTCCTGGCAGCCAATCTCTACGTGATCCTGAAACACTCTGAAACAGAGGGACCCTAGAATGTACTTAAATTCCAAACTCCATAATCAGGGTGATGCCTGATTAAAGGTGTCGTTGGAAAACTGTAACTCCCAGAATCCCACAGCCAGCAATGGGGCAAAACACTTCCCCTGTTGCCGGTTCAGCAGGATCCTTTACCATGAAATTTCCAAGGCCAAACCTGAGACCAGAGAGTGGGGGGCCTTGTGATGTCACAGAGGCAGTGCAGGCATGGATTGCAAGAGAGAGAAAAAGCATGAAACCTGTACGATACACCTTTGCAGTGAGCAAGTCAGGGCTGGTGCCAGTTAGGCATGGGGGGATCGGGGCGCTGACACACAAAAACTTAACTTTCTTTTCCTCATTTGGTGAAGCTTACCCTATCTGGAGAGCCAGAGAAACTTAGCAATTCCTGGATATGTCAGCTATCACCTTGAGACACCTGGCAACTTCATTCCTCCAGTGGTCCCTAGATGTTCCTGGACTAAAATTTCCAGAAGTCATCACCATTACCTGTGCTGGCCAGGATGTCTGGGAGCTGTAGTCCAAGAACCTCTGGGGGACCAAGTTTGGGAGCCACTAGCAGAGGGCCCGTGGGGTCAGAGAAGGCAAACGGTGCAGGTCATACCAGCAGAGAGGGCGATTGCTCTTATGGCCGCTGGCTTCCCACACCCTGCACGATCAGGCGATGGATGTGAACTCCCAGATGGGCAGCCTGATACATATTTATCAGCTACACCTCGCCCAGCAAAGCCTTCAGCCTGACAGGAGACAATTGCAGAAAGCAGTGAGGCTGAAAAAGCATGTGCAGTTAGCAAATAGGTATGCAAACATGAGAGCGACCGATCTTCCTCCATTTCGTGTGCAAAATGTATGCATATTTGAAGGGTTTGTATACTGTAAGTAGGTCTGTGTTGCCCCCACAGATGGCAAAATCTCAACCCTCAAATACCAGGAAAGGGGTTCAGGTATTTTCAGTGAATAATATACAGTACATCTTTGCTCATCCAGCTTGTATATCTTTTTTATCACCTTTCAAAGCACATGCATTTAAAGTTGTCATGTACTCCGCATGTCTGTTCTCTCTCACCTAGTCTTGTCCATAGACGTGTCCATCCTTCCTTCCTCCAGACTTCAATTCAGAGGCTACATGGAGTTCTCCAGCCTTAAAAAAAGGAAAGGAAAGGTAGCTGGCACACTGCTTCCTGGGAGTTATAGCTCTTTGGGAGCTACCACAGCAGTGTCCTTTTTTTTGAACATTAACAACAGGAAGCCTGTGCAGCCTCTGAAGCACACCAGGTGAGTGAAATTGAGGTGTTTCTTGATGTGTGTGCTTGTGGGCTGGAACTCCCAGAATTCTTCCTGGGGGATTCTTGGGGAATTCTGGTAGCTGCAGTCCAAACACATGTTGTTGTTGTTTTTTTCAGTTTAGCTCCCCAAATCCCACAATTGGCAATGGCAGCTGGTCGTGCTTGTTGTGGGATTCTGGGGATTGTAGTCCAAAGCCCCCAAACATTTTCCTGTTCGGTTCTAGTGGCAGGGTCTTGGAGATCAGCTTTTCCTTGTCTCGGGAAATCAAGGATCTTTTTATGCTCTTCAATAGGGTTGATTCTTTAAAAAAAAAATACCACCACATCGCGTGGTGCTCTGCTTTTCACGTCAGATTATCTCAACCTAGAAGATAGCCGCCAGAATCATGTTTTTGTGATTTCTGCCTGTGTTAAGTGCCGCCACCATAACTGTTATTGGCAAACTGGTGCAAGTTGAGAAACCATTAGGAGGATTTCCTATCACACCCCAGTCGTGTGATTTGACGTGTGATAGGAAACCCTTACACTAACTTGCTCACTGGTAGCAACTCTCTGCTGAAAGCCAGGCCCATGGACTTATTTATTTATTTACATTTCTATCTTGCCCAACTAGTAGGTAGGCCACTGCTCTGAGCGGCTGACAGAAGGACACGCAAACGATAAAGATTTATAACAAGAGTGGGGTCTGCAGCCTGGGGGTACACCTGGACCCAACACTCACTATGGAAACGCAGGTGTTGTCTGTTGTCTGCACCGCCTTTTTCCACCTTTGGCGGATTGCCCGGCTGTGTCCTTACCTAGACACGGGGGCGCTCACGACCTTAGTACATGCACTTGTAATCTCCAGATTAGACCACTGTAACGCGCTCTACGTAGGGCTCCCTTTGAAGCTGACGTGGAACCTCCAGGTGGTGCAGAATGCGGCGGCCAGACTCCTCACGGGAAGGAGAAAACACCCATACATTTTTCCTACTCTGGCCATGCTGCATTGGCTGCCCATCCGTTTCCACATTGACTTCAAAGTGTTAATGCTTACATATAAGGCCCTAAATGGTTTAGGACCCCGATACTTGGCGGAACGCCTGCTCCCAACTAGATCTACCCGGATCACCCACACCAGCCAGGAGGTGAGGCTGACGAGCCTGATGCCGAGAGAGGCCTGGAATGAACGAACACGAAATAGGGCCTTCTCGGCGGTGGCTCCTCGCCTCTGGAATAACCTTCCTCCGGCGATTCGTGCAGCCTCTATGCTGGGCACTTTTAAGAGTCAATTAAAATCATGGTTGTATGTTCAGGCTTTCCCTCCTGTCAACACCTAATTTCTTCTCTTTTTATTTATTATTTCTTTTATTATCGTATATGTCATAGTCTGTCTGTAAAATCTCTATCATTTCTTTTTTTTTTTATTGGAAGCCACTCAGAGTGGTCGACTAGACCAGATGCATAAAGATGCAGGCTAAAAATCAAATCAAATCAAATCAAATCAAATCAAATCAAATCAATCAATCAATCAATCAATCAATCAATCAATCAATCAATCAATCAATCAATCAATCAATCAATCAATCAATAATAAAACAACAGTAAGCTCCAGAAATAGCTACAGAAACCACAACAGGAAAACAAAAGGAAAATTAATGGCAGACTGGTGCAGAAGAGAAACATAAAATGACTTTATTAGGGGCAAGCTATTGAAAGACTTGGGGGAAACAGCCGGGTCTTGAGTTACTTCCTTAAAACCCACGAGGGATGGGACTAATCACACCTCTAGTGACAGGGAGTTCCAAAGTGAAGTGGCCGCCACAAAGAAGGCCCACTTTTGAGTGACCCATTTCCAGGCCTCCTTTGGGGTGGCCACTTGGCGCCTCCTAATCTAAGAAGTACAGGTGGGACAGGTAGATGTTTCGAGAGAGAGTTGCTCAGCCAGGTAACAAGGTCCTAAATCATCAAGGGCTTTAAAAGTTAACATAAGCACCTTGAACGTGGCCCAGAACTTACGTCAGCATAAACATGCAATAGGATTGCATCACTGTTGGCGGGTGATAAATTTTGAACATAGAAGAGAAAAGCACGACGGATGAACATTTTCCACTAATTTTTTATTAAACTCCCCTGGAACACAGAGGAACATCTGACTTTAAAGCAACATGAATCAAAATCCACAGGTCCCTGATGCAGTCTTTTCTCTTCTGCCCCAAACAGAATGTGCTTCCTTGTGTTCCGGTTGACAACTGAGGTCTGGGCTTTCCTTTTAAAAAGGCAACGAGAAAACAATTGGGAGCACAGCCTCAAGTAGGTGTAAAGCTAACCTGCTGCTTTCTAAAGATCAAGGTCAACAATCGGACCGACTGATATTTCCCAGGTCAGCCAGCTAATAAATAGGAAAGAAGGGTTGGGGGTTCTTGCAGGAGAGCTGCCTGGGCTGAAATGAATTTGAATCCAACGGCAAAACCGATCCAGGTCTGTACAGTGGCCAGGTGAAAAAAAGGGAAGAGCTTCTGGCTCTGGATTAGCTGCCTGGAAAAGGGAGCCTCCGTAGATGCAAGTGCGGGAGAAGAGCGGATGAAAGCTGCTTGCACCCTCGGATCCGAACTCAGAGCCTCGCTGAGCTTTGCGGTTCCCTACGAGACAAGTTAAAAACTAGCTTTGTCGAACCCCAGTTGCCGGGAAAGAGCACTTGCAAGACTCAATGCCTTCAAGTTTGCTCTGCAGAAAGTCAGCATGGACTCCACGGTCCTGAGAAACAAGCAGGACGGACGGACTTTTTCCCTGTCAGCTGGGGAGCAAATCTAGAGAGTTCCCCTGCTTTATTAGAGTTTATTTTTTCCCCATCCTGCCTGCCTCCTTGACCCAACCATGCTTGGCCACATCTGGTCGGAGCCTGAAAAAAAACTCCTGCTTTTGGAGTTTGGAATCATTCTTTTTCTCTACTACAACTCCCAGAATCCCCTGAAGGTGGGGTTTTCCTAGCTGTGGTGGGTCTCTCTCTCTCTCTTTCTTTTTTTTTAAAGGGCCAAGTTCTGCAGCTGCCATGAAGGGTTAAAGAATGGGAGCTGGGGAGGTGGAGCCCCCCAAGCAGAGGAGGAGCTGCCCTGAGGCTATGCACTGGGGAAGAGGGGAAGGATGAGCCAGGAAGAAGGAGCTTTAAAAGTCTGGGTCTAAAGGGAAGTAGCCGGCTGCCCTGCTTTGAGGATGCCAAGCTAGCAACTCCAAGGAGGGGACCAGAAGACCCCACCAAAGCACGAGGATGGAGTCAAGAGGAGGAAGGAAGAGTGCACGTTGAAGACCAGCAGATGCAGGGGCCGGAGGTACCAAACACGTGTGCAGAATGCAGTGGAGGTTGCAGGGAGAAGAGAGTGGGGGGGTAGAGACCACTGCAGCGGTTCTTAAACTGGGATCCCCAGATGTTCTCGGATTGCTATTCCCAGAAGCCTTTGCCACGAACTCCACTGGCCAGGATTTCTGGGAGTTGCAGCCCAAGAACCTCTGGGGGACCCCAGTTTTGGGAACCATTGACCTAAGAGTGCACCTGAACAAAAACTTGAGCAACTGGCCTTGCTCAGTTAGGGCCCGACCAAAGCTGCTCCCTGCCCGTGGGATGGGATGGGGAGCGATGGTTTTCTTGCGCTGGGTCTAGCCTGCTCATTGTTCGTGGTTTTTTCACAAGAGCAAAATGTAGGGGGGTTAACAGGTATCTGCTAAAGGCACAGGAGCCTTGCTAGGGTGGGAAAAATATCAGCCACCTGCAACTGGATCTTGTATTTCCTAGATCTAGAAAGGAGCGGCATCTCTTTCTCACACAGTCTGAAATGGTGCCCCGCTTCTCTTTTAAATACAATTCCCCCAAATCCAGAAAGGATGGATATTCTGGGAATGCAAAGCTTAACTTCCACAGACTCTGCTTGCAGAGCGAGGCCTCCTTCTGCTATGGATGCTCCAGCCAGACCTCTTTACCCCCCACCCCACCCCCTTTGCATATCTTGGCTGGCAGTAACTTTCTACACCCTTCTAAGCCCTAAGGTGTTAGTTTCCTTCTCTGCCATGATTCTTATAGGCAAGCTGAAGGCCTGGGTACCCTTTCTTCGTTTTTTTCCTCCAGCATTTGGTACAAACTGGCCCTAAATATGGAGGCAGAGCTTCTGGGGGCTAAGGGACGTTGTGAGCTGTTGATCTCCCCCCCCCCAAAAAAAAAAGAACGTTTCCAACACTGGATGCCTGCATACGACTGTGCCGTCAACTCTATTACAACCAGATGTAATATCGGTTTCCCTGAAAGAGGCTTAATGGATGGGGTTTATTCTCTGTGTTGGTTTGCTGGGGACTCTTCGCTATATAGACTCTCTCCTGCTTAAAACAGCTTTATGTGGTCCGGGTGTTGAGGGATCAGGGTTAGATTTCAGTAGAAGGACTCTTACTTGGCGGCTGTTTCCCAGTGAAGAAGCATTCAGTTCTGTAGTTTGAATGAAAGCAAATTAAGCTCGTGGGTGCCAGAAAATAAGGGGTCCAGGCGTCTTTTGATTTCGTGGCTGCTGTCACTGTCTGCAGTGATCATGGAGCCCAAGAAAGTGAAATCTGTCCCTGCCTCCATATCTTCCCCTTCTATTTCCCAGGAGGTGATGGGACCAGTGGCCATGATCTTAGTTTTTTGGATGTTGAGCTTCAGACCGTTTTTTGCACTCTCCTCTTTCACCCTCATTACAAGGTTCTTTAGTTCCTCCTCACTTTCTGCCATCAGAGTGGTATCATCTGCATATCGGAGGTTGTTGATATTTCTTCCGGCAATCTTAATTCCGGTTTGGGATTCCTCCAGTCCTGCCTTTCACATGATGTATTCTGCATAGAAGTTAAATAAACCAGGGGACTCCTTGTCGTACTCCATGCTTTCCTGGCTGGACTACGATTCCCAAAATCCCCCAACCAATGTCCCCAGGGCTCCTTAGCCCCTCCTCCCCCATTAGAGGAAAGGCTTTTGTCCTCAAAAACAGATTTTTTTTCTGCACTTCTTTAGCAAGGAGTGAAAACATTTTCCAGACTTTGGAGTCATCAGTGGTTTGCCTTGGGGGTGGGGGGTGGGTGAGATTTTTTTTTTTAGGGGGAGGGATTGATCAGATAGAATTTGTGACTTTTCTAATTTTGAAGTAGTGTTCCTGTTACTGCTGAATATATTGTCAGCTGCTTTGAGAAGCTAGAATGGGCTCCCTCAGTCTCCAGTCTGCTGTAGCTGCTCTACCATAGAATAATAGAACAATGGAGTTCAAAGGGGCCTGTAAGGCCATCAAGCCCAGCCCCCTGCTCAAAGCAGATCTGACAGAGAGTTGTCCAGTTTCCTCTTGGATGCCTCCAGCATTGGAGCACTCATCACCACCTCCCAAAGTCATGCGTTCCATTGTCGTACTCCTCTAACAGTTAAGGAAGTTTTTCCTGATATTCAGCTGAAATCTGGCTTCCTGTAACTTGAGCCCATTATTGTATGTTCTGCACTCTGGAACGATTGAGAACAGATGCTGCCCCTCCTCTGTAGAACTATCTTTCAAGTATTTGAAAATTGCTATCCTATCTCCCCTCAGTCTTCTTTTCTCAAGGCTAAACAGGCCCATTTCTTTCAGTCCTTCCTCATAGGGTTTGGTTTCCAGATCATCTTTGTATGTCTTCTCTGCAACCCCTTCCAGGGCCTCGCCGTCTTTTTTGTATTGTGGTGACCCGAACTGGACACAGCACTCCAAGTGCGGCCTCACCCGCACGGTATAGAGGGGTACTATCACTTTCCGTGACCTTGATTCCATCCCCTTGTTGATGCAGCCTAGGACTTCGTGGGCTTTCTTGGCAGCTGCAGCGCATGGCTGACTCATCCTTAGGCAGTGGTCCCCTAAACCAGGACCCCTAAATCCCCCTCACAGGTACTGCTGTCGAGCCAGGTACCCCCTATCCTCTACCTGTGCCTCTGGTTTCTCCCGCCTAAGTGCAGAACCTTACTTTTCCTGCCACTGAACTGCATCTTATTGGATCGGCCCCAAGGTCCAAGTCTGCCTAGATCCTGCTAAATGTTGAGTCGATCTTCCAAAGGTTTAGCAATTCCCCCCTGCTTGATGTCATCAGCAAATTTGAGGAGTGCTCCTTCAACCCCCTCATCCAGGTCATTGATGAAGATGTTGAAGAGCACTGGGCCCAAGACAGAACCTTGAGGGACCCCACAACACACGTCCCTCCACGTCGATGTGGTTCTGTTGAGGACCACACGTTGAGGATGGTTGGTCAGCCGGCTGCAAATCCAACTGGTAGTTGTGCTGTGTATCTCTCACTTTTGTTCTATCTTACGCAGAAGTAGGTTGTGGTCTACCTTATCCAATGACTTACTGAAGTCTAAATATACTATATCTACTGCATTTCCTTGGTCCACTAATTTTTATCAAAGAAGGCAATAAGATTTGTTTGATATGGCCTGTTCTTAACAAACACATGCTGGCTTCTAGTAATCGCCTTGTTATTTTATTCGTCATGGGGCACTTTGTCAAAAGCTTTGTTCAGATCAAGATATATTATGTTTACAGCATTCCCACTGTCTACCAGGGAGGTTACCCTATAAAAAATGAGATCAGATTAGACTGGCAGGATTTGTTCTTGACAAATCCTTGGTGCCTTCTAGTTATTACTGCAGGTTTTTTTTTAAAGATGCTTGCATAGTGACTGCTTTATAATCTACTCCAGAATTTTCCGTCGGATTGATGTCAGGCTGAAATCGGTCTATCATCACCCCTTCCCCATTCATCTCTGCCACACACTTCCCAGAGGGCCTTTGTAAAGTCACAGTTTCTCACCTGCAGTTTGCAACATGGAGAAAATACCACTGCTGTGCTTTGCGGGGTTATTGGAAGGATTAGAAGCTTTATGGCTGAAGGACAAGCTTTTGACCCTGTACCATTCCAAGGCATAGGGTTAAAAATAATCATGTGGCACAAAGTGGGTTCGGAATTATGGTGGCCCCTTTCCAGGGCTTTCTTCCTGGGGGGGCCTTGGGACTTTGTGCAGCTGGCCCAAGGCCACCCAGGCTGGCTTCCTCCCTGGAGGCAGAGTGGGGGAATCAAACTCCCAACCTCTGGCTCTACAGCCAGATACCTAAACCACTGAGCTATCCAACACGGATAGAAGTGTGTTTATTGTTAATGCAAAAATAAAGGCTAGAGCAGCTACCCAGGGTGCTTCGTAGCCTTGAATCCCCAGAGATTTTTGGATTCCAGCTTCCAGAAGCCCTAGCCAGCATGGGGTTACTATAACTCCCAGCATAGTTGGCTGGGAGATGCTGGATGCTGTAATCTGAAAATGTCAGTTTCCTATGCTCTGGGCAGATACAGTTACCAGCATCTGTTGCTCTCTGCAACTTTGGCTTTAACATCCGCGGGACATGGGTGGATGATTATTATTTTTCCTTCCTGCCGCAAACCCTGCTCTCTCTTGCTGGCCAATCAAACTGGCTCCCAATCTCGGGTCCAGCCAAACACACGCACCCCGCTGCTCCCTTCGTCCCTAAAAACAGGGATTCTAGTCCCCGTCCCATCTGATTTCTCCCTTTCTTGCATTTAGGAATCGGAAGCATTTTTTTCCCCAGGCCTGCCTGGAAAACCCCGCCGGGGTTGCATGAGCTACCTTGGTAAAAGAGCAGCACCCCTTTTCTGCTGCCTTTCCTCTTTTTGCCCCCTCCCAAAAAAAGTAACTTGATGGGGCTGTAAAACCAGAGCCCCCCATCTGTCTGTCTGCAAAGCCTTCCTTTCTGGTCATCTAATAGGGGCAGGGAAGTGGGGGGAGAGAGAGAGAGAAAGGGGGAGGGTCTCCTCTTAGGTAGGGCTGGGAAGAGAGGGTTCCTGTGCCCGGGAGGGGAGCGAGCAAAGGGGGTGGTGGTGGGGGGTGCACAGGAGAAAGTTTTTGGCATTCTCTCCAGCAACTCCTCTCCAAGCGCGACCCTATTGGGGGATGCAAATGTTCCATTCCTGCCCCGCAACCAATGACGTCCCGGGTGGGGCGGGGCTTCCCATTGACAGAATAAGCACCTTGGTGTTTACTCTGAGCAGCAATGTGTGCAGCTCCTAGACGGGAGGGGAGGGGCTGAGAGTGTCTGGGAGGAGGAGGAGGAGGAGGAGGAGGAGGAAGAGGAGGGGGCTGTCAGCGAGGCTGGGCTATAAGAGAAGGCAGCAGAGAAGAGAGAGAGAGAGAGAGAGAGGTGGGCGTGAGCCGGCAGGGCTAGGAAAGGGAGCCGTCTCTGGTGGGAGCAAAGAGGGCACCGATCCTTAGATTGCTTGCGCGACCCCCTTTTCCTTTGCCCGCCCATTCATTCTCTGCTTGCTCTCTCTCTCTCTCTTTTTTTTCCCCCCCTCTCTTCCCCTTACCCCAAGGGCTGAGCATCTGTCGAGAAGGCGTGACTCCTTCGGTCATCTGTGGGCGATGCCGTGCCGGGAAGAGCCCCCGGCCCCGAGCTGACACGCGCGCACCCCTGTCTTCTGCCCTCCTGCCGTTTTTGCCAAAGACTCCGCTCCCCCACCGACCGTCCAACCGACCGTCTGGGGTTTTCCCAGAGGCACGCTGGCGACGCTCTCAGGGTGCCACCGCCGCGCCTGTCAGTGTGCCAGCCAGCGGCTTCAGAGACTGAGTTAAAAGGGGGGGCGTGGACGAGGACGCCGATCTCTCCCCACCGCTGGCAGCCGGCGAGGCTCACCCGCCCACCCGCTGGACCACCCCCACCACCAGCAGCAAATGATGAAAAAATAACCCCGGCTCGGGTGGGGGGGGTTGTGTCTGGGGAGCGTCTTGAGGAGCGGCAGCAAAACCAGCATCCCACAGCATGGTCCAGCAAAGGAACGTGAGGAACCGGGGGACGGAAGCCAAGAGGGAGGTGTGTCCCAGGGATGCTCTGCTCTTGAAAGATGCCAAAGGCGAGCCGGGCTGGTGCAAGACGCCCAGCGGGCACATCAAGCGCCCCATGAATGCCTTCATGGTGTGGTCTCAGAATGAGCGGCGGAAGATCATGGACCAGTGGCCGGACATGCACAACGCCGAGATCTCCAAGCGCCTGGGCCGCCGCTGGCAGCTCTTGCAGGACTCCGAGAAGATCCCCTTCGTCAAGGAGGCCGAGCGGTTGCGGCTGAAGCACATGGCGGACTACCCGGACTACAAGTACCGTCCCAGGAAGAAGGGGAAGATGGGGAGCGCCAAGTCCCGCCCGAGAGTCCCCGTGAAGATCAAGCCTTCCCTCCTCGGCCGCGTGGCCTCCGGACGAAGGCAGCCGCCCAAGCCGGACGCCGGCTCCGGCGGCCAGGCGGGACGTTCCACCGAATTGGGCGACGACCCCCTGGAAGCCCGGCTCTTGGAGGCCGCTTTCGACGACAGCCCCAAGACCCCCGGCAAGGAGTTCTGGCACGTGCTGCCGGCCACGGGCGAGAGAGGAGGCTGGGGGTCCCACGCGGAGGACCTGAAAGAGCACGAAGCGGCTGCCTTGAGCAAACCCTTCTTGGAACCCGCCAGGTCCTCCGAGCTGTCTTCTCCGGCGTCCACCAGGTCTCCCCCGTCTTCCTTCGCCTCTTCGGACGAAGAGTTGGAAGAGGAGCTTTTGAATTTCCTGCCCAGCCGAGCCCAGCCGAACGTGCCCTGCGGAACTCCGGACTGGTCCCTTTTTGACAAGGACCTCGACCTCTTCCCCTTGGGGGGGACCCCTTCTCACTTCGAGTTCCCGGACTATTGCACCCCGGAGGTGACTGAGATGATAGCCGGAGACTGGCTGATGTCCAGTATTTCGGACTTGGTGTTCACATACTGAGTCCCAGCAGGTAACTTTCTCACTTCTCCGCAATCAGGTTGTATCAGAAAGAAAATAGGGAAGAAGAAAAGAAAAAAGAAAGAAAAGAAAAGAATGCCAGCTGTTTACAATGCAGGAATCAGGTATATCTCCATTCTCTTGCCTTGGCTGCATTCAGAGGCAAGCTTTTCATCCACCCATCCCCCATCCGGCACACACCCACTTTGCCGGCATCTGCCGCCTTGGCGTTGGCGGTGGGGCTGGGCGTCTCTTCACCTCTTGCCGCCCCCCCCCAACATGCCACAGAGAGCTCCTGGCTTGACGCAGTGTTTATTTACCCATGAAATTTGACTGTCTAATCAGATTTTTCATTGTACCCCGCTCCAGCCGTCTACCCCCCCTCCCCTTTGAATCCCCCTCCTCTTTGGTGCAGCTGCTTCCTCCCTGCGCTGCCATCCGTGGCTGAGAGACGCTCTCAGCCTCCACCCCACATTTCCCCCTTCCAGGGTCCCCCTTTAAGGCTCCCTCGCTCTCCTTCACCCCGTCCACTTCTGCCCCCTGGGCAGTGGCTTGACGCTCCGTTTGGCTTTGATTCCGATGCCATTTCGAGGCTTGTCTGGAGAGTAGGCTGTCACTTATGGAAGGGGTGGGTGGGTTCCCTTTTCCTTCTCCTTTCTGCCTTCTGTTCCATTTGAAATGGCTCCCAGGAAAGAGAAGAGGAAAAAAAAAACCCGCACAGCGCACCAGACGATTCCCATTTCACTGCAATGCATCCCGTTTTATAGACAAGCAGATATCTCTGTGTCTCTCTCTCGCTCGCTCGGCTCGCCAGCTTCCCTGGCACCCAACGTGGGTAGGGCTTCCGGGTCTTCGTTTCACGAGACTTTGGCGTCGCCAATGCACGGAAACTCATTCCTGTGCCCGGGTGGGCAGCGTTCGCTTTGGGGTGGGTGAAGCGAAGTTGCGCACACGTGGTGCGCACATGGATCCCGGAGACACGCAGGCGCATCCCTCGTGTATATGTGTGGCAGCTTTGCCACTCCCCAGGATCACCGCCACCCTTTTTTGGCCGGAGGTGTGCCACCCAGCTGGAAGAAGGGGTCCTTTCCTTTTTGCATGCTCTGTTCAAAGCTGATGCCCACGCACCATATTGCTAACCTGCTCCCTGCCACTCCCTGAGCTGCCACCTCCTCCAGATTTTCGAGATGCCTACCACCGGATCTCTGCCCTGAAGCCCACTTGGAAACACCTGAGCACTCCACCTGTCCCTCTCAGAAGGCGTGACTTTCACTGAAGGTCAAATCCAGCTGCCTGGATTGCTCCCGGGAGCAGGGTTGCAGAGTTGTCCGCCCGAGCGGTGGCGCCGAGGATAGGAGAGGTCACGGCAGCTGGTTAAGTAGGGAGCAGCCTTGCCTGATGGGTAGGGTCTCCTCCCGTCTACTCCGGCTGCTGGTTCTTCTCCACCTCCTCCGGCCAGCCACCTCGAGAGGAATCTGGGGTTGCGCCAGTGGGCGCACCTCCCCAGAGCTGGTTGCCAGCTGTGGATCGTAGATTACAGGCTTGGCGCAACAACCCAGGAGCCCCGCTGGAGGAGGAGGAGGGAAAAACAGGTCCCAAAGCCCAGTGAGAAGCTGCAGCCAGGGTAAGAGTCCCCTGTCGGAAGCCTTCCCTTTTGGAAGCAACCAGGGGGTGGGGGGGTGGGGGGGTGGTTGAGTGCCCTGCGGTCTCGGTTTTTCTGTCCAAAGAGGGAAGGCAGAGAAAGCTGAGTTCCTTGGTGCGTAACTATTTCCCCAAGATGGAATCAGGTGTTTTTTTTTACAGTCTCCAGGTAGCCTTTGGTTCTTCCATGACCAGGTTCCTTCTATTGCTGCAAAAGAAGGCAAGGTTTTATATTTTTTGGAAAGCTTCCATCGCTGGTTCTCTGCACCCTTCCCATATACGGGCATGCCCAGCCAAAGCTGAAAGGGGATTTTAAAATAGATTTCCTCTCCTTCCGCAAAGGGTCCCCAGGAATGGCTTTCAGCAGACCTCACCGTGCCCTTTCGAAGCTGCAGCTCCCGGGATTTTCCCGAGAGAACCCGAACGGGTGTTGGAACGGATGTATCTCATAAAGGCAGGGGTGTTGATGGACTTCACTTCCCAGAATCCCTCTTCGTTGGCTGTGCTGTCTAGGGGCTGGTGGAAGATACAGGCTACCTTTTGCTTTTCTGAGACACTTGGCCTTTGCATCTTATTTAAATAGTATTCATAATGCCTCCCCCCAGTTTAATCCTCATGGATGCCATTGCCTCTAGAATAGAGGGAGGGAGGGGGACGGGAGGACCACCAGCCAAGCCAATCAGCTCTTTGCAGGGGCGGGGCCAAAGTTCAGACTTCGGACTGGGCGTGCAAGAGCACCTGGTTGAGGAGCCTGGATGGACCTGCACAAGTTTCTGGCCCTCAATACCCTTTCCCTGGAGGAAGAAGCTGACCTCTTTTTTGGAGTCAGTTCACACCCTCCGGGATCCCTCTCACCCTCTGAACAATTTTTGTCGGTCTGAAGCCAATCCTTCACAGCCTGTCGCTGTCTCCAGGTTAGCGTTAAAACTTCGGCACAGTTTTAAAGTTGCCGGGGAAAGGGAGCGTGCGGTTTCATCTCTTCCGAATTCTTTAATCCGGTCTTTCGGAAACTGAATTCGCAACGAGGGAGCAAATATCAGGGTGGCAAGGGTAGCTTTCCCAGTAGAGTCATTGCTAACTGTAGTGAGATGTTTTCTAACAACAACAACAACAGTAATAATCTTAGAACCGCAGAGCTGGAAAGGGGACCCTCTGGGCTCCCTGTCAAGGAGGCCCAGGGAGGAATTGAACGCCCAACCTCCGGACCCCTGTTGCTATCCAGCAGTTCCGTGGGGCTCAGAAATGCTGCATATGGTAGCCCTGTCTTGGTGCATTCATTGCAGGACCGATTCTCCTACAGCAGGGCGAGGCAAAAAGGATGCTGCTTGACTCCAACCCCCATCACTCCTTGTAGCATAGCCAGTGGTGAGGAACGCTGGGAGTTGTAGTTGTACAACATCTGGAGAGGGCCATGCCTCTCCCACGCGTGCCTTCCAGGTTTTCTCAGAAATGCCGCGTTCTCGTAGAGCAGCCTCAGAAGGCATTTTCAGCCGGTTGAGGCATTCTGGGAGGTGAAGTCCAAAAAATGGAGTGTTTCCAAGTCTGGGCCAACACGCCCAAATGCGCAGAGGCTGTAAAGCAGGAAATCGACTGTAAAAAAATCACTGGCTTTTCATAGCCTTTTCTTCTCCGCCTTGCATGTAGGAATGGAGAAATCCTACCCCTGGATGGCCGTCTACCCCCACTAGCCTGGGCTAGCTGCCCTGCTAGACCTACCACCACCGACTGGGATGAACCCTTGTGTGGTTCATTTTTATAGGAGCAGGACAAAGCCCTGTGGTGGACCCGTTTTTTGTGTTGCCTCCCACTCTTCACAGGGCCCGGAGCCAACGATGTGAGCTCAAGTGCAGGGGAATGCGACCCCCAGGAGAAGACAGAACTTCCAGGGAGAGGTCAACCGGTGGGAGCCGGCCTTGCTTTCAATGGGTGCTCTCCAAATAAGTTGGACTACAACTCCCATCTCTTTGTGGGAAGATTCCTGGCTGGAACATTGGCCTTGGGATTGTCCATGGCTGCCTCTTCAAAGCAGCTGCCCCCTGGCTTTCAATGTGCTTTTAATTCCTATCCCTGGGCTTTCTCCGTTCCCGGTTAATTTTAGCCCCAGTAATTTTGCTAATTCGATTTGCTAATCTTAGAAACCGGGCTGTGTTTCTGTATCTCTCGGATCTCCCAGGCTTCGTAGTGGCACTGGGAGGGGGGGGGCTGGCTCCTTGAGCCCATCCGGTCCCTGGTTGTGAGACAAATCCCTGAGATTTTGACAGGGAGGCATTGTCCCGGCATGGAAGTCCCCCATCCCTTTCTGCAGAGTTAGGGAGGCTGGCCAGCCCTGGATACCCCAATGCCTTCTAACAGAGGTTTTGGGGAAGTTCCTCTTTTAGACGAGGATCCCTTAGGCTGCAAGGCCAGGCAGGATTACCACGTCCCAGCAGTGTCCATTGGCCTAGTTCATTCGGAGAGTGGGACTTGGATTTTCTCCCTGCCAAAGGTCAAAGGGCTGTGCTCCCGCTGAAAGGGTCTTCCCTCCGGAGGAAGCTGGTGGGTCTCGTTTGAACACCGTTGCCTTATAACCCAACCCCTTCGCCCGGGAGCAATCCACCAGACGGCTCACAATGGATCCATTGATGCTTTATCCTGGCTCCTGTCCGAAGGTGCAGAGGAATGTTCAGGGTGTCTTCTGTGTTGTCCTCACAAAAACCCTAGTAGATAGGGTTAGGACCAGAGGTAGCGATAAGGCTCGAGGTCACCCACCGAGGTTCATCTCTGAGCAGGATTTTGAAACTGGGTCTCCCTGATCCCAGTTGAACTCAAGAGGGTGGCGATGGTTGGTTTTCCCCAGTTGCCGTGGAAAGGGAATGTCACATTTTTTACAAGCCCAAATTCCAGCTATTTCTCTTCTGTTTGGCATCACAATAAGTGTGCATCAATGGCAGCAGAGCTTGGAGAATTTACTTTTTAGGGGGGACCGCAGCTCTGGAATCGCTCAGCTGGGATTTAAGAAATTATTAGTATTAGCAGGCATGCAGTGAATTTATGTACTGCCCCTTCAGAGTCCCTTCTCTGCTTTGGCTGGACACCTCACAATAGTTTGAGTGGATCTGGGAAGATGGACTTTCAGATGACAACATACGAGCGGTGTAATCTTGAGAGAGGAATTAAGACCCATTAACTTTACAAAAGACCTGCTTCTGGTGCTAACCTCTGGAACAGAGGTGTTCCTTGTGAAACAGCTGGTGGCTTTAGGGCGCTCTCTTTGGGAGTGGTCATGATGAGTGCCCCCCAGTTTAAAGCCGAAGACTCTATCACAGAAGTTAAATGCATGCTACCTTGGAGGTGAAATTTTTGGTAGGGGTATCAGATCTGAAAAATGAACCCTGTGGATCCTTTTAACCTGTGAAGGGAGGCCAGGGCCAAGCACCTGATGGGTGGGAGGAGGAGAAGGAGGTGGAATCTCCTTAGGAAAGGTCTTTTAAAAAAAATTCAATGGGTCTTTTAAAAAGCTAATGGCCCTTAATTCAGATGCTAGCTGGAAGTGATGGGATTTAGAGAAGGCTGAGATAGATGGTTGTGATGGAGACTTTGCAGAGCAATCAGTGATCAGAAGAGATGAGCAGAAAGCAGGATCCGGTAGAAGGCACCTTCGGTACGTACATTCGCATCGAAGCTGTTCCACAAAACCGTTCAGCTGAAGAGGGGGCCCTCGCCGGGAAGGCCCCTTCATCCTGGGGGAGAACCCAGAGCTGAGTCTACCCCCCACCAGCACCCCACCTCCTGTCGCATGAACCACCACCCTGACCCCCCCTATGTTGCAGCGCACCTGATCATCTGTGGATCCATTTGCCACTGGGAATGGTGGATGGGAAAGACCGCCGGATCGCCCTGCCCCACCCCCTCACCCGACTGCCTTTGATGTGGCCAGAGTGAAATTCCCAATTTCCGCATTAGGAAACCGATCTCTTGCATCATTTTCTCCCGGCCGTTAATGTCCAAAACCATGTTTCCCCAAACCAGGAGCCCCCCCGATCGGGTGAACGTCCGTTTTCCCATTCTCTGCTTTTGGGTTGGACGGATTGTCTAAAACGTGAGGTGTTGGGGGTTAGCATTGCTTTGTAGGTCACACACTCAGACCCGGAAGCCCTGTCCTCTCTCTGCCCGTCGAAACCCGTGTCTACTCACTGTGTTGATGTGTAGAGGATGCGCTCTGCACATGCTTATAGGTGCTCTTGTCTGTTAACCATGATGTCATAAATCTCAGGGCAAAGCCCTGGCTATGAAATGGACCTCCCGGGGCCCGTGCAGGAAAGGCCTCGGGTGCCAAGAGCTTCAGTCTGCAGAAATAGGGTGGGATGGGTCCCCTCCCCCCCAAGGGGACCCCGAAACCCAGCTCAGATGGCCCACGGCGAATGCCCGAACGTGCATAAGGACACCTTCTGCGACGCTAGCTCTTCTGACGTCTATGCCAGTGTTTCCGTTGCTGTTCCTCCCCCAGTTCGCTTTTTGAACTGGTGCGTTTCTCGCCTTGCCCGCAGGGCCAATCTCTCCGTCTGGCCTCAAGTGCTACTCAGAGTTTACAAACTTATCAGGCAAAACCTTCCTCAGGACTCGGGACCGGACAGGACCAAACCTGCTCCGGTCTAACACAACCGTGGAGATGGGGCCGGCCTCTCCCAGCCTTGTCCCATCTTCCTTCTGACTTCCAAGCACAAACTTCACAACGCTTCCTCTCAGAGCTGGAGAAAATATATATGTCTGTGTGTATATATATATGCTACTCCAGGGACTACAAAGCCCAGAATCCCCCCTCCAGCATGACCACACGGGGGAGGCTGGGAGTTGTAGTCTGAAACAATAACTTCCAAGCTCTTACTTCCTCTTGCCCTGACTTTTCTCTCGGA